GGAAATGTTAATGATCGGAGACTTTGTAATTGAATTTGGGGTGACAAATAATAAGGATAATGTTGGTTTTGATATTTAAAAACTCAATGCAATAAACCCAGCTCAGTTACTTCAAAGTAGCTAACAATACACAAACTTTTTCCAACTTGGTGCCAGGTGGCTCTCATAAATTTTCTTCGGTTTTACTTCGCCATCTTCTTATGTCTAAGTGATTTTGAAGGTTTAAGTTCATTCCTAATATGTCTATTAGAAAAAAAAAACTTAATTTAGTAAGAACCAACCGTAACTTAGGTCGAGGTCCTATGTCTAGGCTACCCGAGCGAAATCTTTATGTCTAATGTATTCCTCTCTAAAGTTAAATCAGTAAAGTTGTGAAAACGTATCAACCCTTTCAGTATTGATGTTTGGTTAAAACATTAATTGGCCAAATCAAGTTCCAACTTATGGGAACAACTTTAAGTGATAAAATAGGAGAAAAACGCCTTTTGCCTCGTTGGATTTTAAAAAACTTTAATTAACTATCCATAACTGGGCTTGGGAGAAATAAATTTAGCTCATGATGATAAAGGAAAAACAAAATTTAATGTTCATGGAAGTAGACGACATAATTAAAGGATGAGTAGAATTAAAACAAGCTGGAAATTATGGAGTTGTAACCCGAATGACCCTAACCCGTTCTCTTTCAAGATTGGGGAGCAATACTCAGTCAATTCCACAAGGTTGTGTGATTACAACTTTGTAATGAGAATGAGAGAGATAAGAGTAACAAATAACTTGCTGGAATTTTAATTAAACAAGGCTAAAACTTACAAATGAAGAATAATAAGCTGGAAAATAAAGGGAAAACTTGAAATAAGTAAGGTTAAAACAATAACAACTCAAAAACTTAAAGGGAAAACGAAAACAAGCTGAGAAGTAAAAGTTTAAAGCTGAAATGATCACTCCGGGATGATGAATGAAGAGAATGAATTGCTGAATTTATAGGGACTTCAAGGTGGTTAGAAGGTTGAGAGCTTTGTGGAGAGCCATCCATTGCAAACATCTTTTGGTTAGGTAGTTGTTGAATTGACAACCTTTAATGTATGGAAGACACGTGGCAGAGCTTTGGAAGGCTTCAAATCACACCAAAACGTGTGTTTCACATTAAGGGCAATCTCGGGATTGGGGAAGGCGCTAGGCGCCTAGCTCGAAATTTTTCTGCACAAAAGTGTAATTTTCGTCAGAAATCAACTCTAAATAATGTAAAAACGTCCTACGTGCATGTATAACCTAAGATAACTTAAAATGAAAGGTTTTAGATACTATAATAAGCTTAAAATACGGTTTCCGAGTTTAAAACATTAGAAAACAGCACACATTTAGCTTCTTTTTACCCTTATGAACAAGGGAGATCACACCCCCAAACTTGGCTCTTTGCTTGTCCCCAAGCAAACTTAACAATTTATATCTCTTAAATCACATGCAACAATCATAAGCAACATGTAACATAAGGATAGACTAGACTTGCTTTTCATATGGTGTCTCAGGAAAGATCGTCAAAACCTCATCGTTTTCCTATCTTCAAAAGCCAAATTACCATAAGCCAACAAAGTTCAAAACAATAAAAAGTTTCTTAAAATCATTTCCTTTTTCAAAACAAGAAAACTTTTTGACAACGCTCTAGAATTTGCACGCTTCCTTTTTCACTTAAATTTTAACACTAAAGGAATGACTACTAGCCTCTGTGGGGATTTCTTCCACAGCTTTGTAGAGGCCTTTCAAGTAACAACCGGTCATAACATATCTACGGTGAGTTGCACGATGTTACACTAGACGCAATTGCTACCCTCGAAGCTGCTTACGCCACTCGACCTAAGCTACAACGAGTGTCTACAGTGATAAAAATAAAGACATTTTCTTGCCACTCCTTTTTCTTACCTCTCTTCTTTTTCTCTCACAATTTTGAAATCTTTTCCCCACTCTTATGTTCTCACAAGCAAAGAGGACTCTTTTATTTGCAAACTTGTTATTTTTTTTTTCTTTCGACTCTTTTTCTTTTTCTTGAAAAGACTCTTTTTATATGCATTTTCTTTCTAGTGACTCTTTTTCGCAAAATAATAGCATGTTCTTTCATGAAAAAAAAACATTACATTTTCTTTCTAAAAGCAAAAGACTGTCCCCCCCAAACTGAAGAGAGACAGTGTCCTCACTGGGAAAAGATTTTTGAAGAGGCAATGCAAAAATTAAAATGAAAGAGGACAAGGACGTCATAAAACATTGAAAAAGTTTAAGTTTCAAAAAGAAGAAAAGCACAGAAATCATGTTATTGAAAAGAACTCGGTCACAAATGGCTCATGGCTTTTTAGGACAAAAAGAAAACAAAGTTAATCTAATCCTTAAGAATCATCATCGACATGAAAAATAAGAAAAGGCACACCAATATGCTAAATGAAATTAAATTTGCAGCATGCTTTGTTTAAGAAATATACTTCACTAAGGCCAAGAACGAGATCATGATCGAAACAAGAAGAAACTAAATGGTCATATTTTCATAACGAAACTCAGAAACAACCAGAAAAGCTCACAATAATATTCTGCAAAAAACCTAAACATTCAACTACATTAAAAAATAATATAACAAGTAGAAGAACAAGAACAAAACTTCCCTGGTCTCATGGATCAAACGGCCACGTCTCAAAGTAGATGATGTGTCCCATCTCTTTTATTTTTCTTTTTTGAAAAAAATTAGGGTTTAAGACTTTAGATTAATTAAACAAAAACTCATTTAGAAAAACAGACCAACAAAGATTCAAACAACTCAAAATCCCACCTTTTTTTTTAATCTTTTAAGAAAGCTCTCTATTCTCTTTTAAGACCTCCTAAACCTGATTAAAAACGAAAAATGATCGCACCATTATTTATCCCAAGTCAAAACTACTCCCGAAATTAAAATCACAATTTTTCGAATTTTTGGATCGGGCCGAGGCGCCAGGCGCCTTGCCTAAAAAATATTTCGAATTTTCTAAAATTTAGCCCAAGTAATTTTTCAACACCTTAATCTCAGCCTAAACAACCTAACTACAATTAAGAATAAGTGAAATTCGAAAAGAAAATAAGTAAAACTATTCCTAACTAATTTACACAAAACCCTTCAAAAAAAATTTTCAATTAAACAAGGAAGAGAAATTTTTTTTTTTTTTCAAACTCTTAACTTCCTGAAAGTTGGATAGAGGTCTTCCCTCTATCTATTTCTTCTCCAAAATATTTTTTAACACGTTGACCATTAACTTTAAAAATGTTACCTTTAAAATCTTCGAGTTCAATGGCACCGTGAGGGAAAATTTTTGAAATTTTAAATGGTCCAGACCACCTAGACTTTAGTTTTCCCGGAAATAATTTTAAACGAGAGTTGAAAATTAAAACTAAGTCTCCTACTTGAAAAGCTTTAGGCCTAAGCCTCTTATCATGCCATTGCTTAGTTTTTTCTTTAAAAATCTTTGCATTTTCGTAAGAAAAATTCCTATGMTCCTCAAGTTCCATCAGTTGGAGCTTCCTTGATTCTCCTGCAGAAAATAAATCAAAGTTTAGTCTTTTTGTCGCCCAAAAAGCTTTATATTCTAACTCTAATGGTAAATGGCAAGCTTTACCAAAAATCAACCTATATGGGGACATGCCGAGAGGAGTCTTGTATGCTGTCCTATATGCCCATAGAGAATCGTCCAGTTTTAAAGACCAATCTTTTCTATTTAAATTGACAGTTTTTTTCCAAAATAGATTTGATTTCTCTATTAGACACCTCAGCTAACCCATTGGATTGGGGATGATAAGCTGTGGCTATCCTGTGACGGACTTTATACTTAGACAACAAACTTCTTATCGCTCTATTCAAAAAATGAGTCCCCTCATCACTTATCAAACATCGAGGGGTTCCATAATGAGTGAAGATATGCTTTTGTAAAAATAGAACAACTACCCTAGCATCATTCGTAGAGGTAGCAACAGCTTCTATCCACTTGGACACATAATCAACAGCTAATAAAATAGAATTCTTACCATACGAAGGAGGAAACAGAACCATGAAATCAATACCCCATACATCAAAAATTTCAACTTCCATAATAGGGTTCAAAGGCATCTCATTAAGTTTAGAAATATTACCTGTCCTCTGACACTTATCACAAACCTGAGCGAAGCTATGTGCATCACGGAATA